TGTTTAAAGGATCTTCTTCTTCTTCTTCTTCTTCTTCTTCTTCTTCTTCTTCTTCTTCTTCTTCTTCTTCTTCTTCAACTATTATTATTATTATTATTATTTGGTTTGCAAAGTTTCAGTCTGGGTTCCACTGTTCTCACTCCACTGAAACAGCTTTGTTCTGGATCAGTGACCTGTCTGACTGTCTCTCTCACTCTATCAGGCTTCATGATAGTACTATTGACTGGTTCTGGTCCCAACTTTCAAACATGACTGAACATGTTGGCATCAAAGGAGCCAAAGTCAAAGAATCATACTGTGGACACTTGTGGTATCCCTCAAGGGTTAGTCCTTGGCCCTACTTTCCTCACCCCTAATTTATACTACATGCATTCCAGCTCCGCTCCGCTCCTCTGCAGCAAATACGCACCCATTATAACCAATGAGAGTGTTTACACTGGCTCCATATGGCGGCGGTGAGCGACCAGCGATCTGGCAAAATTAGATCTGATACGATCCTATCCTATTTCTGCCGGACGCCGGAGCTGCGCCCGAGTCAATTTTTAAAGATTACATCGCACCAAAAGGAAGAGGAACGAGCACATCATCCATATTTACAAAATAAGACACCATACTTTTGTCAAAATTGCAGCTATATTAATGAATATATTGATATATTTCTACATAAATTCTGACACCATTTATGTAGAAATGGTGTCAGAATGCATTCTGTTTGGGAAGCAGATGGCAACATGTACAGTAGATGAAGCATATGTGTACACACRATACACGTGGATTTTATTTTGAAATCAGAAGTTTCATAAAGACGACAGCAATACAGAGGACCTACTTATTTTTTTCTTTTTGACAGCGATACAGTTTCAACCATAGATATCAAAAGCTTTTATATCAATGTTTTCAGCTGTGTTTGGAGTTCATCTTTCACAGAATTAATTTTTTTTTGCTCTGACTTCCACATTTATCACTTGATTTATCGCGTGATCTCCTTCCTGCACACCCTCCCTCCTCCGTCTGTCGGACCGGAGCGGAGGCTGTATAAATTGGGGCACAAACGAACAGCTGCGAACTGCGCACCGCAGTGCAGCGGAGCAGAGAAGCATGTAGTGTAAATCCAGGGTCACACAATACATGCATCTTGGTCAAGTCATTAGCTGCCATCAAATATCCTTCCACTGCTATGATGATAACACTCAACTTTACATAAAAAATAGAAATAAAAATGGTTACCCATCTGGTTCTTCCTCTACTTCACCCCATCATCACTCTYTGCACTCACTGCCTGTCTGGAGGAGCTAAAAATCATGTGGTGGAAACAATATGAGATGTGAGGATAAATCTGAGATGAGTACAATGTGAATGAAAGTGGCAACAAAATTATGTGGGTGACCTAGAATAGTTTGCACACAAAAATAGGCCATGATTTTCAAAAATTAGCTGAATTGTTGCTAAAGCACAAAGTTAAGTAAATGTAATTGAAAATTTGCTTATTTACTTGATATTTTGAGTTAGTGACTAGCCTACACACAACCCAGGTTCGGCCATAAGGACCACCAGTAGGTGATTGTAACAGAAAAAGTCCTAAAAATGTAACAAAAGGTAACAAAACAAAATTTGTGCATGTTTTTTATTCAATTCAAAATTCAATTCAAAAATACTTTATTGACCCCAGAGGGAAATTAGGTAAATTAGGTATTAGTGAAACTAATTTGCCCCAAAGTTGACAATTATGAAGAAGTTGTGTGAACAAAATTTATTAACTTTTTGTTGAATAAGACAGGACCAAACTAAAAAAGTAAAACATTTAGAATTTTAAAATAAAATACATTTCTTAAATATCATTTGAAGTTATGGGAGCCACATGTTGACAACCCCACAGCAAAATAATAATAATTAAAAAAATCTACCAGTACATGACTGGTTTTTGAAGGGTCTTAACAGGCTCTCAGTGGCATGCAATGGGTGCCCCATATATATGAGATAAAGAGTGTGTGAGGTCCACAATGATTCTGGTTGTAACCTCCATAGCAGGTTGCTGTAGCTAAACAATCAGTGGCAGCAGATCGTAGACCTGAGTGGAGCACATGGGAGTTATGCTAGCAGTGTGCTAATCTTCTAGTACAGACCTGCATCCTGAAGTGGTCTTTGGGAGTCGAGGCAGAACATAAAGAAGACCTGGAAAATGGGGGGGGGGGGGGGGGGTCTTATTTGGCAACTATCATAACAGCGATGTAACTATCTTCACACTGAAAGAGCTTTTCCAGATTTGTTTTAATCAAGCCATGTTTTAATTGGCTGTGGTCAAGACTGCCTAAAAAAGAGCAAAATACTTCAAACAATGTATTTGTCTTAAAAAAGCAAACATCTCAAAGAGGGTACAACACCTTTTACATTAAATAATAATTCTGTCAGTTTTCCTGTTGCTTCAATTTAATTATTTTTGCACAGAAATTAACATTCAGTTAATGCATCAGAACTCTGCAGCAGCAGACGTGCTTCACAACTGCACAAATATTATGACACCTTTTTTAGATGGATACATTTGAGCAGTTTGTGGCAATCTATAACCCTCTGATTTCATCATAAAAGACTCAGGGAGAAAATTGGTATTCCTAAAACGAGGGCATTGATCCTGTAGGCAGAAGCCCTTCACTTGCATTAATTTGCTATTTTTTCCATGTGGCCTGAAACATTTGGATGAGCTCTCTAGGGGCTGCCGTCAGCTTCACCATGGCACTACTTACCACTTCAGTCTGTAGTGCTTTTTTTGTGCTGTCAGAGAACTGCATGTAATTTGCGGCTGCTACTGTGTTGCTTGTGCAGAGGGCATGGTTCAAAATCATTTTCAAACAGTCGCTTACCAGCTATTGTGCAGGACATGCTGCGTCAAATGAGAATGGATCGGGGCTTCAACGACGAGAAAACAGCAAAGCATGAGTTTTTAAGAGGAAAATGTGTGCAATCATGGCATTTTACCTGTCACTTCACGGCACACTCAGCAGGACGTTGTATTATTGAACATGAGTGTGCGGATGTGTGTGTGCATGGAAGCAAAAAGACACGAGAGACAAACTAAAGGAGTGCAAATAAATTAAATACAGCTGTTCTTTATTTAAAGTGAGACTTTAAATACTCTAAAAACAAATAGGTCATGATGGCACATGCAGCCCATGTCCTAAATATTGGAGGTCAAGCATTCCCTGTAGGAATGCTTATCACTCGTTATTTTTCTAGTTAGCGTTTTAGTTTATTTTCTATTGAAAAAGGAAGCAGTAACTGCCATTGTGGTCAAACCTTAATTTACCATGTTTTGAGAATATTTAAACATATATTTCCTTTGTGTATCTGAACAATTTTGTACCTGTGGAAGAATAACATGTAATTTATTGTTTACTTCTTTCTGTTTTAAAATCACTGAGATATTATTTTCTTCATATGCTTCTTGTTTGCAGATCTTKTTGTTTTTGAAAGGTATTCATTGTATTTTTTTAAGCTGAGTGATTTCATGTACAAACTGGATGTGGGCGAAAAAGAACATTTCTGTAACGCATTCAAGAAACACTGGGAAAAAATATATATATCCACGCCAGAATAATAATAAAAAAAACGTGGTCTGATATGATTATAAAGACTGTCTTTAGTTTGAATATAATTAAAACTTGAATTCGTGCCTAAATTCCATTTTCTCCATTTGCTCGTGCGCGAGCACTGTACGCGCGACCTCGTCCTCCGTCTGTTCCTCACATCCGGTTCGTCATGTGACCAGCGCTCTGCTGTCATTGATGTAATTCCGTAGCACCTAGCAAAGCACATCGAGCGGCGTCGCCTTTGTCGGATTTTCTGCACGATAATGGCAACACTGGTAGCAAACAGAGCTATGGATGTCAACGGCTTGGCAGCTGCTGCGAGAACACACACCCAGGCTGTCACCAGGAATTACATCTCTCAACCCAGGCTAAGTATGTTCCGGTGGTGTTAGCATGTTGCTACGGCTAAGGTTGTCGTGTTGCGTTCAAGACGAGAGTTCAGTCGGAAACGATAAAATATCATCTTAGATAATATAGACGAAATGCAGTAAGGCTATTTTATTTAGCTAATATACTTGCACTGACTTTGACTTTGATTTGTTAGCTCTTGTATGGTGTGCTTTCTGTGAGGAAGAAGTGGACTCGAAATGTGTCAAATCTTGCTAAGTGTATTTGAACGTGAACTCATCGCGTTATTGCTAACAAACTGTACAGCCTGGTTTAGAAGAACGAACTGYTGTTTAGTTAGTACCGCAGAGATGTCACCTATCAGAGATGTGGGTTTCTGTTACAGGCAAATATAAAAGTACTTTACCTGAAAAATCGTCTTATGTTTAGTAAAAGAAAATGGTAATGGTCACAAAAATCAGCCTGCTAGCAAAGGTTAGCATGCTAGTTGTTAGTGTCAATCTCTTTAATCGTTACCTAACCAATAACTGCTGTACAGGGCAGAAAGCGTATTTTAGTCGTGTATTTAGGTCATTTAGTGACATTTGCGCAATGTTTAGAGATGCATTTAACCACAGATGGTACAGTGACAGTCAGGGAAGACAAAATGTCCACAAACTGACTTTAGACAGCTAACCCTGATATGAATGAATGAAACGCAGCATAAGCTGGGTGTTCTTAGAGGATTATTGCTTAGAATTTGATGCGATGGAACTATCCATGTGGTATTTATTGCCTCAAAGRTACGTTTTAGTTATTTACTGAATTGTTTTTCAGGAACTCAAGCTTGCAAAAGGCTAGC